AATACGTCGGCAGTGGCATATGTCCGAAGACAAGGAGGTACTCGCAGCTACACACTCCTGAGGGAAGTTGCTCCGATCATGATATGGGCTCAGGAGAACCTGAGTCTCCTGTCAGCAGTATATATACCAGGTCAGGCCAACGTGCAAGCGGACTTCCTCTCCAGGGCGGGCTTCGACAACAACGAGTGGGCCCTCTCTACTCGGGTGTTTCAGATATTGACGAGGTGGGCATTTCGGCCACGGATCAATCTATTTGCGTCCCCATCCAACAAAAAGCTGCCGATATTCTGCTCGCGGTTTCCATGTCCCCAGGCAGTGGGGGTGGATGCGATGACGCTGGAATGGAGGTTCGAGACGGCATACACCTTTCCACCAGTGCCTCTTATTCTCAGTTTCCTGCAGAGGGAGGAGATCACTGTACTAGCAGTGATTCCGAATTGGCCGCGGCGGCCCTGGTACCCCCTTCTGCGGGAACTATCAGTGAGAGAGCCTTATCCCCTGCCGCTGCAGAAGGACCTGCTGACTCAGGCTCCATTGGTCCATCCAGCGCCCGAGAGACTGTCTCATGGCATGGATCTTGAAAGGAGGCGGCTACTGAGGGACGGCTGCTCATAGAGTGTGATTTCCACGTTGCTTAAGGCCCGGAAGGCCACCACCAACAGGTCCTGTGGCAGGATATGGTCCAAATTTAGGGACTGCAGAGTTGCAAGGTTTCTCTCCGGAATTGCCCCAGGTGGCTCACGTGCTGGAGTTCCTGCAGAAAGGATTAGATATGAGTCAGAGTTCAAGCACTCTTAAAGGCCATATATCGGCCCAGTGGGCCTTCACTGGAACTCAATGGGCGTTTGACCCCTTGGTTGTTAAATTCTTCAAGGCAGTGATTCGCATTAAACCTCCTAGGAAGCCATTGGTGCCCAAGTGGGACCTTCCTCTGGTCCTGGATTTTCTGGCATCGGATATGTTTGGAGAACAGGCTTCTCTCTGGTATCTAACCTTGAAAACGGCGTTTCTCGTGGCTGTCTCTTCAGCCAGAAGAGTATCGGAAATCGCAGCCCTAGGATGCAACGAGCCCTTCACTGTTTTTATGGCTGACCGGGTGGTCCTGATCCCCATGTTGGGGTTTGCGCCGAAAGTGGCCTCTCACTTTCATCTTCAACAGGACATTGTGCTCCCTAATCTCCCCTCAGACTCCGATGACCGGATTGCCAGGTTACATGTGGGAAATTGCCTCAGGTCATACCTGAAGGCTACGGAAGGGATCAGGGCTATCGATCATTTGTTCATTGTCCCGGATGGGGCAAGAAAAGGCGGCATGGCATCCTCAAGCACTATTGCTTCTTGGTTGGTGAAGACGATCACCTTGGCCTATAATTCTAAGGGGTTGGCAGCTCCTGGGCCAACGACGGCGCATTCAACTCGCAGCGTTTCGGCCTCCTGGGCAGCAGCAGGCCGTGTTTCGCCTGAGACCATCTGCAAAGCGGCTACTTGGTCCTCTGTAAACACGTTCATGAGGCATTATTGCATTGAACCCGCTGCATTAACCACTGTGGATTTTGGTCGTACTGTTATTGCCTCTTCGGCTTCTGTACCTGATTAAACTCGCCTCCATATGCTTACCCTCCCTGGTATGTCTAGTTATTTCCCATTTGTGTGCTGCCATGAAGCTGTCAGGGAAAACAGGAAAATTGTATTTCATACCTACCGCAATTTTCCTTTCCTGACTAGCTCCATGGCAGCACAAAATGTGCCCGCCCAGTCGGAGTTGCTAGTGACGTAACACTGGTGGTTGTGGGTTGCTCAAATTTATGAGTTAGGGTCCTATCAGATTGGTAGGGCCATCCCATTTGTGTGCTGCCATGGAGCTAGTCAGGAAAGGAAAATTGCGGTAAGTATGAAATACAATTGTCCTGTTTTTGCCATCTGTGTCCCATTAAGAGATTTCCCTTCGCTTCTTGAACTGTAGACAGAACAGGAAGTGAGGGGATATCTCCCCAAAGTGCGTAAATCTGCTTTTAGACAACTGTCCCCAGGACAAGTCTACTCATTGAAAGATTTAACCTCTATTCATGTTCTGGTTACAACTCAAAATTTTGCACTTTCCCTTCACGTGCAGTCCCAATAATAATGGTCACCAGGACAAATAGAGAAAGTGAATCTCCTCAGTGGGGGCTCAGACAGCAATTAAAGCTGACTAGAGATTCCAAGCCCTTAACACTGTCCAACACAAAATACGTTTGGGATTTAGATACACTTTAAAGTAGTACTATGGCTTCCCGTTAAAAAAAAGAAAAATATGTGCTGCTGTACAGTTTCCTTAGTCCCCCAGCAAAGTGAAAATCCACCTCATGCAACTTCCTGTAATAGTTCAGCAACAATGCTGCACTAGACGTGAAGTCATAACAGAGTTGCTATTTTTATGTAAGCTGTGATAGCTTGCACTACAATGGGAGAACAAAATGTTGTGGGGGTGTGGCTATTAGCATCATCACTGCCTGTTGCTTTTTCAATAGGGATGTCCAGATACCAGTGCCGATACTTGGCATTTTCACGAGAACTACCAGGGTTGCAGCGGTTGAAGCTAATATCTGGCTCTGGCGCTCCACCACTGTCCTGAAATCATTAGTCTGTATTGGTTTAGAAAAACTGTCACATGACAATAAACAAAAATGTATCAGTACTTGTATCTGTGAGTACTTGGGCAAGTATCACTACCTGTACTTGGAAAACTGGTATCGGTGCATCACTTATATATTATTTATTTTTAAAAAAATAATGCATGTACAAATCCCAGGAGCTCCGTGTGCTCCTTAAAAACGACAGCTGTCTCCTAACTTTTGAATTTTTCTGTAGTCTATTCCTGGAGCTGGAAAAGTATCTGTACATGTACTTGTACTTGTACCGAGTTCTTGGTATCTGAACATCCCTACTTGTCAAACAATGCCATGCCACACCTAGTCCTGCCCACTTCTTTCTGGATTGGCACACTGCCAGTGTTACCTGTGCAGTGTCACCCGAGACAAGTCAGTGATACCTGTATGGTGTCACCCCAGCAGAGTCATTGTTACCTGTGCGTTGTCACCCCCGCAGTGTCATTGTTACCTGTGCGTCGTCACTCCAGCAGAGTCAGTGTTATTTGTGCGTTGGAATACACATTTCAATTTCATATATTAAGTTGTAATAGTGTTAAAATAAAAGTGGGTGCACAGAAGGACCCGGAAGGACAGCCAGTGGGCGGACTCGATAAGACAGCCTGTGGACAGGCCTGTGCAGTATGGGGAGGGGGGCCCAGGCCTAAAGCTGTGTAGGGGGCCACAACATTTTTGATGGCTGCCCTAGTTATGGAAGCTCCTTTCAGCTATCCTGACACTGTTCTTATGCTGAAACCTAATTATCAACATTATGTTATGTTTTGTTTTGTTTTTTAGAAAAAGATAAAACCTTTAAAGAAAAAAAATTTAATAACAATCAAATGAATACACACCAAAAAATGCTAATGTACATAACAGTAGGTACCGTATATACTCGAGTATAAGCCGAGATTTTCATCCCATTTTTTTGGGTGAAAAGTGCCCCCCTCGGCTTATACTCGAGTCAGCGCCAGCGCGTCTTCTTACTTAAGGGAGGTGGGGGGTAGAGAGAGAGATTAATTAAGCAATTATATATGTATTGTCTGCACTGTATTAGCAGTATATACTCTATATAGAGTATATACTGCTAATACAGTGCAGACAATACATTTACAATTATACTAACATGAATGTATTAAATGATCTGTATGTAGCCCTGTACTATGGATCATTTAACCCATTCATGTTAGCAGAGGATCATTGTAAATGTATTGTTGCAGGCACTCTATATGTACATGTACTATATACTACATATAGAGTGCACTGAACAATAGATTTACAATTATCCTCTGCTAATATGAATGGGTTAAATGATCCGTAGTACATGATATGTAGCCCTGTACCCCCTTTTCCACTTACAGAGCTAGGTTATTTTTCTTTTAAATAAATATTAATGTATTTTAATGGTATCTATCTACCAGTAGCTGCCTCATTTCCCACCCTCGGCTTATATTCGGGTCAATACTTTTTCCCAGTTTTTTTGGCTAAAATTAGGTACCTCGGCTTATATTCGGGACGGCTTATACTCGAGTATATACGGTAAAACAAAACAAAAAAAGTCCCGTAAAAACACCCAGAACCCTCTAAATAAAGGAAAAAAAAATCATAATGCTTGGCTTAGCCATGTAAGTATTTGTATGTTATAGGTTACTGTCAGATTCATATAAAAATGTTATCATGGAAAAATAAATATTAAAGCAAGTGGTTCGGGTATGAATGGTTATATAGTATATCTGTAAAAAATACGTTGAGGCAATTGGACTTTTTTTTTTCCGCCTCAACTTATTTTTTACAGATATACCATGACCTGGATGAATGAGAACCCTCACAAACAGTTATATAGTATAACACTGACCACCTAGTTGCACTCTGCTGCACTGTAAATTTAAAAAAATACACATTCAAATATTGCAGCATTTACTTTTCTTATAAGCAAGTGTTTTTACTAGCTGCTATATAACATACAGCAAGGTAGACAATCTTGGCACTCCAGCTGTTGTGGAACTACAAGTCCCATGATACACTGCGAGACTCTGACAGCGACAGGCATGACTCCCAGAGGCAGAGGCATGATGCAATTTGTAATTTCAGCACAGCTGAAGTGCTGAGGTTGCCTACCCCTGACATTCAGGATTCAATTACTGTGTCACTGACTCAGAGAAGAGTGCTTCAGTTGTGATAGTTTAACATACCCAAGTCTTGGGGGATTGTTCCAGCCATACTGGGAAACACATGAAAAGAGTTACATTGTATGAATTAATTTTCCCCCCCAAAAACAAATATCTGCGTCACATAAGGCAGCTGATCTCCCATGCAAAACATACAGTATATATGTGTGCATTTATGAACGAGTCCTTAGCTGTCTATGTGATATTAAGATTCTCCAAATTTTTGCAGTGTTTGAGTATTCCGAGGCTGATAGGGCCTTGGGGAGAGCAACGCTGAGGCCCTAGGAGTAAGGGGACCTTCACTGTCAGCATTACTCCTTGGGCTAAGTAGAGATCCCTCCATGGAATTTCTCCAGCTCCTGCTCATAGTTGCAGTGAAGTTAAGTCTCACTGGTGAAGATGTTGTATTATTTGTGTTTATAGGAGTTGGCGATCTGGAGCTTTGTTGAGAACCTGCCCAGGATCCCTCTGGAGTTTGTGTTCCAGTCAGTGGTGTTGATGATCCTTGGCTGGCTGATTCAAGTTCATTATCTTTATGGGTGTACTTGGTATGACCAGATAAGCGGGGTACAATGGGATCCGTTGGCTCTTTTTCATGTGGTTGGGATACGCTTCTTATCTGCTGAACCTGTTGCTGGAAACGCAGCTTAGCTGCATAGAAAAGCATTACATTTATGAGGCCATGCAGTAATGCATGAAATAAAAGCTTTCATAATACTAATACACACTGGAGGACATTCACAAGCAAATTAGCAACAGAATTAGCTGCAAATCAGGCTGTCTCTCGTTAAGCAAAGTCTCTGCAACAGGTATTCCTGGGCAGCCAAGTGTGACAGATTGCAAAGTTCTGAAACAGATTTATTATTAAAGATGGGACAGATTTTCTCTCTAAACAGACACATAAGGTTTTACCTGCTGCATGGCTACTTTAGAGCAGCAGAGGAAGGAACGTATGCCTTAAGCTGTAACCTTGTAATAAATCTGTCTCACAGTCCCCGTTTAGCACTATTTTGTCATGTGACAGAATTGATAAATGTACCCCACTGTCCTTAACAATGCAAGTGCAAATAGGACAACCAAGTGCATAGACAAATCACATCAAAATCCATTTTATGCAAAGTTAAGGTGTTCTACCTAGTCATAAAGTATCAATCAAATGTTATTATTAGTACTTTTTGTAGACCAACATTATACTATTCAGTAATCTTAGAAATGGAAACATACTAAATGGAAACCTGTACTGAGAGAAACATGATGCCTAGTATTGTTGATCTCTTTCTGATAATGCTGAATGCCTGGCTTTCTAAATCACTGACCCAGCATGGGCAGGCAGCAAGAAAAGTAAGAATAAAGTTTGCTGAAAAATTTGCATATTTGTTTTAGGTCACTGGCTTGATATCTTAACATTGGTATAAAATCCAAGCAACTGACAAAGTAAACGTCCTTCCTTAAGGAACTGAATACTGCCTGCTATCACATTAGTTTACTATACAAGCCTCTTCTGAAGGACTCTTCTCTCTTCTGTGCCATTTAAGCTCACTTTGGTTAAGAGTTTGAATTATCTGTCCCCTGGAGGTAAACCTTGCCTACCCACCATCCCCCTGTCCGAAGACAGTGCCCTAGAGATCAGATTATACTCAAGAAAGGAATGGAACCTACAGCTATAGTTCAAGACAGAATGTAGCAGATTCTGCAGTGTGACTCCATCTGAATCCAACTGAAAACTTTAGAAAGAGGGACACTTCTATGGTATCCTGAATTTAACAAGACAGTAAGGGAAGCAGCCAAGACTTAGAAACCCATTACGCACACAGGTTTTGGGCAACGCCAATGTGGTACCTCCGAATGTTCCACACTGACCATTTGAGGACCCCAGAAGAAACGCTGAGTAAAATTTACTGGCCAAATAGTGCAGGTTCAACTTGAGATGCATAAGACAGTGGTGCAAGTGGTCCAGGCTTAAGCAAGGATGCAACAGGCCTTGGTTGATGTGAAAAAAAGCTGTGGTTACCTTAGACTCAGAAAGGAATGGCTTGGGGGAAGCTAAATTGGATACCACTGGGCAACTCACCACTAAAAAGGTTATGCTTGTGGAGTTCAGACACTTCAAACCGCAGTGCCCAAGGGCAAGACCCTTTTCAGATACTGTGCAGGAGCTCATAAAGGCCCTGCAGGAAATATAGCATCAAAATCTGGCTGGGATACTTCAGAGGGCCTTAGTGAAAGAGCAAACACCACATAAATTAGCCCCTAACCAAAACATAAAATGGAGAAGAAGAACAAGCCTGAGCCTTTAAGTAGAGCCTCACCTGATTCCCCAAAGAGGTAGCTAAAAACACTTTCCTCAGCATCAGGTTTGGCTGTATGGGGAAGAAATACACAACAATCTCATATTGCTTTAACTATCACAGAGGAAAGAGAAAGATACAAGTTCAGCCAGCTGGAACTCCATTTCTAGTAAAGTTCCAGAAATACTAGTAGGACCTTCTCCCATGTTGCCTGTTCAAGTAGAAGGCAATTATACAAGACCCCTTCTCGTTTCAAGTGCCCAAGTAACTGTTGTACCAAGACTCCTACGACAAGCACCTAAAATACCTGCCTCTAAAAGAGTTGAACCACTTAGAGGTCTGGGGCATTGGAGCAGAGACGCTCCCCTACAACTGATACCTTCAGATCAAGCTGCCATTTGCCCCCCTAGTCGTTGGACAGCCAGGGACTTTTGACACACTAGCCATTGTATGTTGCCATTCCTCAGGGTCAACAAACAGCTCTTTGATCATGGGGGCAGACACAGATCTGGTGAGGTGGCACAAGAGGTAGCACTGCAAACTCGAGAAGAAGAAGAGCAGGAAGAGATGCCTGCTGAGACCACAAGGGATGTAAAAGTACCCTTTCCACAAACACTTGAGCCTCACCTAAGAAACACTTGAGCCTCTTTAAGGAATAGGAGCCACATAACCTGGGCATTGCGGCCATGCCAGAGCCCACTTCTCCTCCCCAGGGCCAGAGAGCGAGAGAGGGAGGAGGAACCTGACTGGCCCCATTCTGTGGCCGGACATTTAGCCCCGCCATGTGGAAAGTGGAATGTGGATTTAAGCCTGGGAGGAGAGCCATCAGAGGGGTGTATGCAGAGCAGGGAGAGCCAAGATCTGGCAGAGAAGGAGGCAATTGGTCTGCCCATGGAGAGGTACTGTGCAGCTGTGAAGAAAAAGATAGCAGATAGCCAGGGGAACTGTTTGAACAGATGGAGAGAGAAGGATGTAGAGCCTGAGAGACCCACTAGACACAGGGGAAGAGGAATCTTGGGTCTGTGGCCCACCTTGCTGACCCCTTTCCCATTCCAGCAGTCAGCCACCAGGGAGAGGAAGAGGACCCACGTGGACATCAGATACAAGTGCAAGCTTCAGAGAGAATGCCAAGAGTATTGTGGGGTACTTCTCACCTGGCATTTAGAGGCACGTGAGCACCATAGTTTGCTGCACCTAAACTTGTTCTAGTATTTAATACTGGGTTAAATCCTACCATTGTTCAACCAGCATTTCTCTTTCATAGCCTGTTCCTGATTAAATACAGCATTGTTGTATGCTGGTGTGTCGGTAAGTTGTTGGGTCCAGCTAGGGCAGGTTATCATTGGGAATGGCAGGAGGTCCCAACATTCCACCAGCTCTTTAGGGAGTAAATGCTACAAACCTACAATCTTATGGAAAGATTTTTCTTGGAATGCATGGTCTGGCAATGGGGTATTTTTATAAAGCTGAAAAAAAAGTTTGTTTTAAAAGAACTGTTCTAAAAAGAAATATCATTGTAAGAGCAGAATCTGAAGGTGTTTCTTTTAGAATGTAGACAAACAGAGATAATAACTATCTGCTCATAACACAAGATGTACTCAAAGCTGGCCACTTCCTGATTCACGTGATTATGCCCCTAGTCTATTTTGGCTGCTCTCAGCCTACTACATCTCCTTTTTTTCATAGCATAGCTAAAGCTTGTACAAACCTTTCATTAGAGATTCATTTTTTTCTCGCAGCATTTTGATTTCAAAAGCCATAGTGGATATCTAAAGTTAAAAAAAAATAACATACATTTCTAAAGAAATGACATTTTCAAAACCTAGTGTCTGGGGTAAAATCATTTAAAATATAAACTATGACTAATCTTGTATTGTTTACTTCTGAAATATGATACAAAGGAAAAAAAAAAGAATTGTGCTCTTCCTAACATTGTAGTATATTCAAAACACATAACTATGATTTAAATGTTGTTTAAAAGTGTCTAAATTTTAAAATAGGAATAGCTGTCAGATAGAGAAGGGAGTAAGAATCGCTTGTAGCTACCGTGTTTCCCCGAAAATAAGACACTGTCTTATATTTTTTGGGGCTCAAAAAAACCCACTAGGTCTTATTTTCGGGTAGGTCTTATTTTTTTTTATGTACAACAATCCACACTTATTCATGTACAACAGTCTACATCAGGGATAGGCAACCTCCACACTCAAGCTGTTGGGGAAATACAAGTCCCATGAGGCACTGCAAGACTCTATCAGCCACAGGCATGACTCCCACAGGCAGATGCATTATGGGATTTGTAGTTTCACCACAGCTGGGGTGCCAAGGTTGCCTACCCCTGGTCTACATGTATTCATGTACAAAAATATGGTGATCAGGGCAATCAGGAGTGCCGTACCTTTCCAAGAGCAATTTGCTAACCAATCGCTGGCCATAATGAGTGAAGCGCTTTCACTATCGATACCTCACAGGCGGAGTGCATTTGGTATCACTCCGCCTGTGACAGGAGCCGGCACTAGAGACGAAGCATCGGCTCATGCGGCTCTGCTCCCTCCGGTGCCGCCTCGCCTCCTCTAGAGCTGACTTGGTTGGCACCGCTGATTCTCTCCTGCCTCTCCCGCGGCTCTTCAAGTTCCCCCTTATGCCACCACCGGCCCTGGGAATGGTCACAACTAGGTCTTATTTTCGGGGTAGGTCTTATATTTTAGCAATTCCCAAAAATAGTACTAGGTCTTATTTTCGGGGTAGGTCTTATTTTCGGGGAAACAGGGTATATGTTTTACAAAGAAAACTTCTAGAGAGGGTAAACCGGGATTTTTACATTCAATGCTACAGATAGATAGAAAAGAAGGCAAAAAGAGACAGAATAATGAAATGTACTTTTTCCGATTTTTCTTCCAATTGCTTTTGTAATTTTGTTACATCTTTTTCCTCCAAATCTTTATGCAGGCTTTTCTCCTTGCCAAGTTCCTCCTGATGCTCCTTGTGAGCTTTGACAGACTCCAGCACATTCTAAAAGAAAGCAGATCCTTAAGAGTGTAAATATCTATATAACAAGAGTTAAGACATCTGCCCGCCCTCATATTGCCTCCTCCTCAACAGGACAGAGATTTTCTAACCACATCCATGGTGGAAAACTTGATGAAGAGCTATGTTACAAAGACAGATTGGAAAACCTCTTTGTGTGATAACAAGACTCTACACTGTATGAGAATTTTGTGAACATACATCTCACATGTTAAAACAATGCAAGTCCTCATGGCAAAGCCTGCGTCTCTGACCACATCTGTAAAGTAGCACTTACATGTTGTAGACTACCCTGTCCTTAGTTATAGATGACTGAGGATAGATTCATGAAAAAGCATGTAAGCATTACCTTGTGCATCTTTTATAGGGAATTAGGATGTATTGGTGATAATTTTCTATGATTTTATAAAGTTGCAAGCAAAACTCAAGCTGGTAACAAGCAATGCTTGGTTTAGTGGTGCACAGCCATCTCCTACTGTAGGTGGCCTGACAACTGCTGGGACTAGTCATCTTAATAATAAACAATGGCTAAAATAAGAGATAAAAGCACTGTTAGATTTTTCTGGGAAAAAAACACCTCTGTGGGCGAACAGGTAACCTGTGATGGCTGCAGTCATGATAAAATAGAACCCCAGTGGAAACTATTATGCGGCACAAGGAGTCAGTGGCGTCACCAGGCTAGGTTTCACCTGGTGCGCACGTCATTACGTATACATGTGATGTCATTGCGCACACACGTAAGGACATCACGGGCACAACCCTGCCGTTGGCCATCTTGGTGCTGGACGGGCGCAAAGAGAGGAGGGGGATGTTCATTTGATGGGATAAGGTATGCCATACTCTGCCGAAGACCAAGTGCCTGGCTTTTCAGAGGGGGTGACAACAAAATGACTGTCACCTCGTCTGTGTCTAGGTGCTAAAAAAAAAGTTATACTCACCCGATCATCCGAGCCAGCTTGTTCTTAGACCAGTCCCTAGAGCCTCTTTCCTTCTCCACTGCAGTGGTTTAAGAATCCTGGTGTCTTCACGTTCTATACAGTGTATAGATGTGAGGACACTGAGGAACATTTAATCTGTGCAGCGGAGGAGGAGACACACTTTAGTGACCAGAGAAGCAGGGAGTCAGCTCTGCAGTTTGGGTGAGTATAACTTTTTTTAGCACCTAGACAAAAGCAAGCAGTTAAGCCATGCAGTGTTGGAGTAGCCCCTCTGCAAGAGTTAATAAAAATTGTTCCTAGTAGTTCCTCTCTAAGCACGTGTTTATGTCCAGGGACACTATTAAATCTGTCTTTTTTTTGCTATATTCCTGTACCGGCGATCTCTATCCAGACTGCTAGACCAGAGTCCAGTGCATTACTAAGTCCGGAGTCCAGAGCGTTACTAAGTCCTGAGTCCAGTGCGTTACTAAGTCCTGAGTCCAGTGCGTTACTAAGTCCTGAGTCCAGTGCGTTACTAAGTCCTGAGTCCAGTGCGTTACTAAGTCCTGAGACGAGTACGTTACTAAGTCCAGAGGTGCGTTACTAAGTCCAGTGCGTTCTTAAGTCCAGTGCGTTACTAAGTCCAGAGTCCAGTGTGTTACTAAGACCAGAGTCCAAAACATATACTGTTCTGCCTTGCTGTATAATGTATTGCTGGAATTTGTAGTCCCGCTACAGCCGGTGCCATTCTGCATTGGACTGTAAGCTCCTCTGTACACAAACGAATGTGACTGGCTCAGTGTTCTCTGTACAGCCCTGTGGTATATGTCAGAGCTATATAAATGTATAATAATAGTGTGAGACTGTGGGGAGACCACAAGTACCGGCATGCCATTGGCCGCTTGGGGGGGCCCTAGCCATGTAGCCCTGCCTCCTCTGATGGTGTCACCCAGTACGGGCTACCCCCTCCCCCCGCATTCCTCTTGAGAAGCCACTGCCATACAAACTGCAGCAAGTTAAAAAAAAAGAAAATGAGTGATTTTATACCTTCTTTTATTCAAAGCAGAATTAGGTGAACTTTAGCTTGTATATAAATTACCTTCACTAGTTTGGATTTTACTGTCCAGTCATCAGCTGGCTTCTCTTCTTTAGGAAATTTCTTATATGCACTTTCCAAGTTTTTCTTTTCTTTGAACAGTCCCTTGAGCTGCTCAAATAGACACAAAGTATATATGAGCAATACAATGAGAAAACCTGATATGTTGAAGCTAGTGTTTAAATACGTTACCGTATGATGACAGATTTATTATAAATGACATAATGCATTTCTGCTGTACGTTTTTCTATAATCTTTTTTACTGAGCAACTAATGCTATCCAGCAACTGCTGCAACAATGCTTGGAGTGACACTAAACTTCAATTTGTATCACTCAGCTGTAGATACTCAAATCATCTCTGAATTTGTGCTGACATGGTCCTTCCTTCTGGACACCACACTAAGCTTGCTCACGTGATGAACTACAATCTCAAGTTTGCTTTACAAATTTCTACGGAAATTGTAGTCCATCATGGGAGTGAGCTTATCCAGGCATGCAGCCTGGATGGCTAGGAAAAAGGGGGCAGCAAACATGCACCCCCCCCCCCCCTTTTTTTATGAACTATACAGGCTACCATAGATGTTGATCAGCATCAATCACGTGAGCGATGTCTGACAATCCATCTTCGCGACAATCTTCTCCCATGACAAATGACAGGCCCCTGAATTGCTGGAGTGTAAGCAACATTAAGCAACAGCATCAGGGAACCTGGGTGGTGTCATTAACCACATGTTAATGGCCTTATTTGGTCAATGACATCACCTGGGACCCCCACCAACATGTTTACAATTTAAAACAGAAGCCAGCAGTATTCTGGCATTTCAAGACAATAGAGATACCACTGCTAAATGACAGACTTATGACTGCATCAGCAGGTGTACTGGCTAATTCTGACCCAAACAGGTTGCGTTTGAGTCAAACTAATATTCAACTGGAACCTGAAGCCCATCCCTAAATGGCACTAGTAAAGACTTAAACTTCCTGTTTTCTGTTCAAAGTATTGCAATTATATTTCATGATAACCATCTGTGTGTGGCTCTGGAAATTCTTACCTGTTCAGTTACCATTTTGTGCTGCTGTTTAAGTGTATCGTTATCCACTTGAAGGTTTTGAGCTACCTGTTCATTTATTTTAGTTTGCTTTGAGAGATCCTGCGGATATAACAGAAAATAGGTAGCTGACAAAACAATGGTGTAAGTTACCCATTTAAATTAGACTGTGATTGAAATGTACATTTTATGTGCAGGTAGTATTGTGACATGAATTGCTATGTGTGTGAAGGCCTGGATAAAAACATAAACCCTGTAGCCACATCTATTTAAAGGTAAACCCTGGAACATTAAAACTGATCATTTGATAAAAAGGTATAAATGCATAAACATAGATTACCTTCAATTAAAACTACATTCCATCATTAGATCCAAAAATATTGACAGCTGAAGTTATATATAAATATTGACTTTTCCTGTTAAATGAATTGGTACAACAGGGAGATGTATAAGGAAAGGGTGGAACAGGTCCAATATGGAGGCTTGGGGAAATAAAGTAGTGATATGTGGTTTGCACTGACACTCATATTTTTGTCACATGCTCAGTTTGAATTGTCTATGATTGTGACTTGTTTACTGTAAGGAACTAATTTGACAACCAGTAGATAATGGTTCCACCTGATTTCTACATACACATTACACCTGAGAAAGTTTGGGCTGTAAACCAAGTTGCTACAATGTGCAGAGCTACATCTATGGGGTGTGGTAATGCAATGATATTGTCTCTGAATACTGTATATACATATTTGTGGTGGGACATTGCTACATTTCCTTCTAACAAATATTTGAATGATTCTATCAGTATGACTAAAACCATGACTTGCTAATAAGTTCAATATGTATTGATTACAATTCTGAAATTCCCCACCACATCTCCTATGTCTGTAAACAGGTTTGAATGGTGTTTTATTATATTACAAAGCTCACCTTTAGAACATCTTGCAGCTGGTAAAGACAGACAAGAGTTTGGTTTTTCTCTTCACGTAATTCCACATTGCGCTCCTGGTATCCTGATTTAAACCACAAGTAATACTTTTTATCTAACCACCACAATTCAATTAACATATTACTGCTTGTATATGTTCATCATATATTTTATTTATAGTGATCCTAATAACTGGAAATGATTTGTACAGTTATCCAACAATTATAAATGTTCCAATATTGGTAGTAAGTTGTTATACTTCTCATAGGTTTATTTAAATGTTTCAGTATGACAGTAACAACAGGTATAATGCCCAAGGCTTACTAGCAGATGTGGGAAAATAAAGCAGAGGAGGTAGGGACACAGCAAAAAGTAAAGGCATTAGTAAAAAGGGGTTGTTGGTCTCATAAAAATAAAACTGAGAATTTGAAGGATCGCTGTATTATCTTTTAATTAACCTTTAATTAATGTGCAGTTTTTTTTAAACAAATGGGGCCATGGATAGGCAGACATCTCACCTAAAATGGCAAGAGATCTGACCAGATTAGTTCAAACAACACCAGGACTTGACACAATATTTCACCTCGACCAACCAACAGCCAAATGTGGTGCAGATGCAATTAAGGGTTTACTTTCCTTTGATACCGAGAAAAGGGAACCAAATAGTCAAGTTTGCAAAGTTGCTGGGATGGGTTGCCTGGAACACTAGCTTAATCACCACCATATCTACCTTTCTCCTCGCACCAATTTCAAGGCACATCGAAGCAAAGCAATGTACCTATCTAGCAATTGAGGTGCGTCAAGATTAGTGGTGTGGTCATTGCACTGCCGCATGTGATGCAGACTGTAAAGTCAAAACTTACCCAGGACTGCTTGAGGCTCCCTGAAATCTACATTCTTTTTAGTTTAATTTAAACAATGGTAGTTATAACCATCAATTTGCTGTGCGTAACTCCCCATTATTTAATTTAATGATTTTATACATATATGACAAGATGGTTTTAAATGGCACGAACATGTTAGTAAGAAGATTAAGTACGTGACTGCCCACCTTTAATTGCTTTCTCCAGCTGCTGAAGGAAGACATCACAGCGAGTACATTTATGTAAACTTGCAGCAGGTTGGGTTACTCCTGGACTCCAGCTTTTAACTCCAGTCTTGGCTCCTTGCACCGTGTTATTAGGGGAGATTTTTCCACACTGTTCTTGCATTTCTGCCAACTAAATTTTAGAAATGATGAAGACTGCTGGCAAGTTAATGCGTGGGGTATGATCCCCTTAAAAAGTGTCATATTAACTGTAGCAGTAATGGCTATATTATCATCAGCCATGTGTTTCAATGTGTGCCATTGACAGAAATATCATGAAACAATGTTTGTATCATATATATTTATCTAAAGGTTGATTTAGTGGATCTCCACATATGTCTGTACTTTTTGGACTTCAGTTACTTCTATTGGTCCCATCCATTTATTGTATATGCCTTTTCCAATTACAGTAAATAACCATATCATTAGATGGTAGTGGTGACCTGATTTATGCTTTGTAATATACAGCTGCGTAACAATTTGTTCAGTACTATTGCAATAACATTACCTGAATGTTTCAAAGCAGAATATGCTTTATTCACTGTATGTAAACAAAAACATTACCTGAATGTGTCAAAGCAGAAAATGCGTTATTCACTGTATGTAAACAAAAACATGACCTGAATGTGTCAAAGCAGAATATGCTTTATTCACTGTCTGCAAACAGAGATTACCTTTAATTCCAAGGAAGACCTCTCAATATCCATTTCTGTTTTCTCCATCTCCTTAATTTGCTGCAGATGCTTTACTGACTGTTCCCTACATAAGGAAGAATGAACAGGCTGTGATTATTAGCTAATCCATAAAGTACTCACTGAAAGGATTAAAATAAAAATAGCTGTATGCTATCAATAAATAAAAGATCAAAGTGATGTTGATTGATTGATTACATGTAAAATTATGTGTACTCTATTTGCTTTTGTGACAATATACAAATGTAAGTGACTGCTAAATATGTACAATTAAAGAACTTCACCAGACATTGTTGCGAGCGTGGGTTGCCACCTATATTGACCTAGCAAAAAGTAAAGTATAGTCATGAAGGTACCTTGAGGTGTCTGCCCTTTCTGTCATTTATCACCTAAAATCCAACCTGTCAGGGGTCAGAAGTGATCTGGTGTTTGACAGTTGTCACCTAGTAAACTTCCTGACCTCTTCCACTGGCTATAAATATTTTTTTTTAAAATTCGTTTATTATGTGAACAAGTACAATATACACGTATTACATGTAGTATTACAAAAAGACATATCACACAATTACCCTGTTTGTATTCTTGTAGTATTCCAAGAGCTATGGAATTCACATAAAGTTCGTAAATCAAGATCCGGCTCTGACACCCCATATGACAGGTTACCATGAAAATAATAACAGGACTGTATAGTAGGGTATGTCACGTGGCCGTACCGTGTATGTAACGTAAGGGTGAGTTCGTGTGAACAGCAAAATTGCTGGATCAATTCTTCAGATCTGCTCATTTTCTATATAGGAACTATACAAGAGAAAGAGAGAAAGGACAGAGCAGTGCAGCATTCCCTTATGGAAACAAGAATATAGTTGTAGAAGAGGAGATAAGGAAGAGAGAGGTACCTGGCCCGCTGCCCCCCCCACCCCCCCGAGGGGAGAAATCCTCTAGGTCTGTAGTTGGGAGACGGTGAGGTAACTTTCACCAAGTCCCCCCATGTGAGGCGACTACTGGAGGATGGAGGTGGCCATTGAAGTGAGTGCACGCGCTTCTCCGGACATTAGAGCATGCTTAACGCTCAGAGTGTTGGATGTAGATCCACGCCCCCCATGTGGACAAGAACTGCTTCTCTGTGTTTCTGAGGGTAGCCGTTAGGTCTTCCATGGCATATACTTCTCGCACTTTGGACAGCCATAGAGTGATCGATGGGGGATGAGGTTGCTTCCACATCAGAGGGATAGCTGCTCTGGCTACATCCAACAAGTGGCGTGTGAGCGAGTGCCTGTATGTGGTGAGTGGGGCCGCTGACATGTGTAAGAGACATGCCGCCAGATTGTCCGTCAAGTCTACCATGGTCAGTTCTTGGATAATGGACAGCACCTGATTCCAAAAGGGCCTCAGCGCTCCGCAGGACCAAAATATGTGCAACATTGTGCCCGCAGCTGAGTTACAGCGCCAGCACCTGTCCGATATGACGGGTCTCATTTTATGCAAGAGCCAAGGAACCCTGTACCATCGGGACAAAATTTTGTAGCCAAGTTCCTGCACTTTGCAGGCCATAGAGGATTTGAGTGACATGGTGAGGATGGTGTGGGCCTGTTGTTCCGTAAAGCTCGTCCCAAGTTCTTCCTCCCACCGTTTTACAAAGGATGGGACCGCATCAGTAGGAGTGTTTAGCAAGTTATAAATGGTAGAGATGGCATGTTGTGATGGTAAAGAGCCTGTACATAACTCTTCGTATGTCGTGAGGGGTCTGTCCAGCTCCTGAGGGTGTGGGATTGCCCTAAAAAAGTGCCGAAGCTGCATGGCGCTCCAGGGGTCGAGCGGAGGGTCAGTTAAGTGTTGTAGGGCTAGACTACTCAGCCAGTCTGGGCTATAAACATTTTGAGAGAACATTACAGTTATCAAACTATGTAGCTGTGTGGTTGCTTACATTATACAGTATATACAGCCCAACTACAGCCAATTGTGGATAGAATGTGGAAAGGGTATTGTTTCCTTTCTCTACATTTTTTTAAAACGTTTTTCTTACTATTGCCCGTATCACCTGTCTAATTGATAGGCATCAGAAAGAATAGGAAGAGAGAAAAAAGCTCCCCATTGTCTACCTATTTTATAGATCTCTGCTAGGACTGAAAGTAATGGGTAATTAACCCAATGGCACACATGAAAAAAAGCCAAACAAGAAAACACAAACATTTTCTAGTTCATTGGGGAAGGGTTGGAACCTCCAATAAGATATTATAGCTATCTGTGTCCCAGTGAGGGAGATTTCCATCACTTTCTGTTTAGATGATGAGTGTCAGACAGAACACAGAAGGAAACCTCCTCAATGGGGACACAACATTTACAATCTGAAACACAAATCTTCTTAACAGGGACACAGACAGAATTTAAAAACTGATAGAGGTTTTACACTGCCCCCACTCTATCATAAACTCCCCAAAATATTTTGGATGGCGTTGGGGTTTCACTTTATGGCTCTTTTATTTGACTCTAATATGCTCTTTCAGAAATCGGGAGATGGAATGTGAGGTCAAGACATTTACTAGGTAGTAGCTTGAGACTTCAAGTGAACCCTGACTCACAAGGCAACGAGTCAGGCTCAGACAAAGTAGCTAAAGCTATAAATGTAGGTAATTATACACCTTTAATATGTAAGACTAACTAAACAATTATTATATTTTAAGATTAAATACTTAGAATCTTGCAAGTCAAATTGCAACTGGTTGTCTTTAAATGACAACTTACTTTTCCTCTATTTGTTTCTGTAGGGAGGTGACAAGCTGCTCCAGTTTGACCTTCTCAGAGCTGCATTCCGTGTACTATG